TGGCACTTTCAATATTCTCCTCCAACACCACAACTCAAATGTATCCATTGCATCAATGCATTTTCTTAGGGGCTCTCTGGAAGACTGAATTACCACCCTGTGATGATTTTTAGCTTTTTCACATTGCTTCTATGGGAGCTTAGTGGGTGAAGAGTACTGATGACTTTGCTTTGGGATAATTTTGTCCCTGCCAACGTCCTCTCCTAACCTCCCCACCGCCACTCTCTAAGACTCATGTAACCATCTCTCACATCTCAGTGCGAAGGCCAGACAACTGATCTCTGCAATGTCCAGACATGCCGGGCACCTGGACCTTTGCCCTTCTCTTTGGAACTTTCCATTGAGTGCCTATTGACCACAACCGAGGGCCTGAGGCGTTCCCACGGTGTTGATGGTGTACTTTCTCAGCTCGTTTTTACTTCCCGAAATGACCCGGTGATCCATCAAGAAAGCACAGACACAGTGAGGCCAAAGGAGGAGAGGAGCGTGTAGGAGAAAGTTCTATCAGAACTTTACAAGAGAGCATCACATGAGAGTGTGCAGGCTGAGAGCTCCCTGGTGGCCAGAGCAAAGACAGACACTTGTGTATTTCCCAGTCTGATGGAGGAAGCAAAGCAGTTTGTCGTGGACACAGAAGCTTTCCTGGTTCTTACTTCAAAGAATCACATACATTCCACCACACGGTTTAAGATGGCAGCTATGCCTGGCGCTTACTTCATGCTCCCAGCCTACCTGCTGAATGTGCCCTGCTGCAGGTTCCCTGAGGACCGGCCACCGTCGTCAAGCCGCGCTGACGCATGGCGACCCCTGGATTACAGAACTGCGCCATGGGGGTTTCTCAGCTGTATCTTTATGACCACAGACAGCCGAGCTTTTCTTTCATGGAGCAGCTGGGTGGGTTTGAACCACTTAACCTTTTGGTTAGGAGTCTAGTACAAACCATCCATTCATGCCTGTTTCGTGGAAGTCCCCCTGGACGAAGTCTTATTCTGAAAAAGCCTGATGCTAAACATGAACACACTGAATCCTCCGATTAGAAGACAGACTGTCTGGTTGGATTTAAAAAAGCTGTGTTATTACAAGATGCACATTTTTAAATTATTGTTTTAAAGGGTTATTATGAAAGGATGGGAAATAGATTCTAAAATCACAGATGAGAAGAAAGCTGGAGTAGTTACATTAATACAGCTTAGGTGAAACATAGGAGTCCTGATGTGGTTCTGCAGGTTAATGCGCTGGACTGCAAAGTGAGTTTGAACCACAAGATCGGCAGTTCAAGCCTCACCAGCTACTCCTCGGAAATGCGATACAAGGTGAAACATAAAGGGGCTGGTCATGTGAAAAGGAGTAAATAGTTAGTGGTGGTGGGTGTTGTGAATTGCTGCTAAGTTGATTCCAACTCCTAGCAACCCTGTATAGGGTTTCCAAGGAGCAGCTGGAGAGCTTGAACCAACGACCTTGCAATTCAAATGACTTTGCAGTCTGACGCATTAACCCACAGCGCCACACCAGGACCCCCTACCTAGTTAGTGATACAGACAGTTTATAAAGCACAGGCAACACTGAAACTCAAATGCACCAGGTAACATGGGAACACCAGAGAGCTTCACAAACTGCAAATACGGCCGATGACTTGAATGTGCCTCTCTGGAAGTCAGTCAGAACGATCTAGTGACAAGTATTAACAATGATGCTAGTTACTGCATCTAACCGCTGGGTGGCACAGAGAGCAAACAGCTTCATCTGGAGAAAACTGGACTGGGTTGCCAAGAGCTGGAATCAACAACAATGAAGAAAGTCTTCTAACTTTGGCAGTAGGTTTCCACAGAACATCTGTAATTGACCCTGTGCCCGACTAGAAAGAAACCTTCACAGAGAAGACAGATGTTGGAACTGTAACGTGGGAACAATGTTTCAGCATCAGACACACACACCCCTCCCTATTGTGAGTTCAAATCCCAGCTTTGCTACAGCCTAGGAATATATCTCTGGGCAAGTTACTTAATATTTCTGTCTCTTTAAAAAAAAAAGGTCATTGTTACCTATTAAGGTAAAAAGTCATCCTTATCTGTGAAGGTAAAAGCCATCCTTACCTGTGAAGATAAAATTCATCCTTACCTGGTTAGGTTATTGTGAGAACAAATAACGGTTGTATATTCTTTCCATAAATGTACAATGTGGTTTCTACATGAACAGTTATTATAAACACAAGTCCCCACCCCTCTTAATTCCTCATCAGTCCTGGTGTGGCGCTGGTGATTAATGCGCTGGATTGCAAGGTTAGTGGTGGTTCAAGGTCGGTGGTTCAAGCTCCCCAGCTGCTTCTGGGAAACCCTATACAGAGTCACTATGGGTCAAACCCAACTCAACAGCACTTAACAACAACAACAACAACACTACCAAGTAAGGGACATAGTCCAGTGTGAACATTAGCAAGAAGACAGCAGTGGCCACTGGTCACTATCCCTCAACCTCACTATTAGCCATCCCAGTATGATTTTTGGAAACAAAGCACATGGGCTCAAATAGTGACAGTTGCAAGTGTCATCTTGGGGGGTTGCTTAGCCTCTCTGAGCCTTGTCTCCACAGCAGTGATGACAGTGACTTGTCCCGGAGCCCTGGGCACACAGGAAGCCTAACAAATGGGTAAGAGAGCTCATGTATTGCTTTTTAGATCTCTGGCTCCTCAGTTGTGATTTGCAGGTGACCCTCAGAGAATTCCCTGCCTTTAGGGCACCCCCTGTCCACCCCATGTCCGCTCTAGCTGTCCTGTCCATCCGTGCTCTGAAGCAGTGACAGCTGCCTGCAAGCTCTCGCATATTCCACCCCCGTTTTAGACATAAAACTCCAGTTGCCGTGGACTTGTCCCTGACTCACGATCACCCCACGTGAGAACTGTGCACCAAGGATTTTCAAAACCAAACCCCGGCTCATGGCGACCCTATAGGACAAAAATCATACTGGGATTGCTGATAGTGAGGTTGAGGTATGGTGACCAATGGCCACTGCTGTCTTCTTGCTCCTTAGAGTCTCTGAGACTGCAAATCTTTACCAGAGCAGACAGCTTCATCTTTCTCCCATGGAGAGGCTGGTGGGTTTGAACTACCAACTTGTGGTTACCAGTCCATCGCTGAACCCACAGTGCCACCAGGGCTCCTTAGCAGATTTTCAGTAGCTGATTCTTCATAAGTAGATAACCAGGACTTTCTATTGCAGCACATCTGGGTTTGGTAAGCAGCTAAGTACTGACCCATTTACACCACCCAGAGCTTCCGCTTTGGGCTCACTCCCCCTTCTCTGAGCTGGTCTGGTTCCTCTAACCCCTCACCAGCCCACCCCCACCCCTCTTGGGAGTCCCTTTTAACTTACAGGATGGAGGATTCCAGTAGGCCTGTTCCAGAAGGTGGCTAGGTGGGCATGGAGTATGACAGTCTGTGGTGTGGCGTGATGGGCACTAGGGGGCAGCATTCCCCTTCCGAGTCTGGAATAGGCTGGTGGGTTCTTGGGGAAGGTATCTGCCTGGTTTTACGGCAAGAACTCTGAACAAGACAGGTGCCTGGGTGTTCTTGTCAGTAGGATGGGAAACGTTGGGGGTAGGGTGGGAGCGTCTTGAAGACAGCTGGGAAGAATGATTCTGTGCAGCAGAGGGTCAAGGAGGACCTCTGGTGTGTTGAGAACACCTGGCTCTAGGTCCCTGAACCCCGTCTATCTAGGGTCAGGTGGACGGGACACTCACCTCGGACATAGAATTTAAGGGGGTGTCAAAAACTCAGCCATTCAAATTAATGATATTTTCATTCAGAATTGCTATGAATGCAAAGAAAAGTTCATGCATGCTGAATGAAATATCCAGATTTTACATAAATTCCGGCCCCTGTTTACCTCATTCTCCTCTGTATCCCAACTGTCAGATAAGGCTGAGAGGTTAGGCTAGCTCTTCTGCCCTCAGTGTCCCGTGTTGATGATGAAGGTGTTGGTGACTGTGCTTCCCTGCATAGTCTGCACCCACCCCTCACTTCCATGTACGCCATAAACTCCACGGCCAGAAGCTGGTCACCCTGTGGCAGGCCCCAGTGGTCGGGGACATGGTCTCCCCATAGCTGCATTTCTCGCTCTGTTGAAATGGAAACCCTGAGGCCCACCAATTCCAACTCACAGTCTCCCCTTCTGCACCCCTCTTTACTGGAGCAGAAAACCTCTTCCACCCACGCAGCAGTTGATGGATTCGAACTGCTTACCCTGGGGTTGGCATCCCACAGTGTAAGACACTGGGTGATGCACCGGCCTCCAACCTGGGCCAGGCCCCAGCTCCATGCTGGGGGCTCGGTCAGTGGAACCCTAGGTCAGTGGGCATGGGCTCCAGGGTCCCCGTCGAATCCGAGCATCTGTTGGAAGCTCCCGCCCTGCTAAGTCTCCCAAGCGTAGAGAGAACAGAGGCCAGCCGGCCTCTCACTCGCTGGCTGCCATCTCTCTCTCTCTTCCAGGATGTCAATGTGGCCCCTCTCGGAGAGGACCCGGACGCCAGCTGGGGCACACGAGGTACAGGAGGTGGGGGTCGCTCACACACCCTCCTGGGGGCTATTAGCACCTCCAGGTGTGGTGGTGGGGTGCCTCTCCTGCCTTCCTCCACAGCCCCCTGCTCACCTGAGTGGCACCTGTGTGCACAGCGCCCCCTGCAGGGCAGAGGCCACCTAACCTCACAGCTCCTAAAGTGGGAGGCAGGGAGGGAGCAGAGTGACAGCAGGAAGCTCCCCGGATTGGGGAGCCCTGAGGGGTCACCTGAGGCATCGGTTGGCTGGTTGGCATGTGAACAGAAGCTTGGGGGTGCACAGCACCTGGGAGACTGAGGGCCGGCCCCTCTGGGCAGTCCCTTCTCATGTCGTGGGGGGCCTCGCCCCTGGGCCTCCCCTCCAGGACAGTCTGGAGGCACTGATTCCTGTGGTCTGTGTGTGGCAGGGTCCCGCTGTTCCATCTCTGTCAAGTGCTGTGTAGGGGGGACACATTGTCAGACACCCAAGTCTCCGTGGAGGGGGGAGGGTAGGTGCCAAAGGCTCTAAAGGAAAGGCAGGGCCTTGTGGGGGGCAGATGAGAGTGAGGATGTCAGTCTTCACAACACCCCAAAAGGTTTGCCTGGAATGCCCACTCTGCATGTGGGTAAAACTAAGGCAGGCAGCGTTGTCAGGATGGCCCAGTTACCAGGAGAGACAATGCCACTGTCCGGTTCTCAGTCTGGCCTTGCCCATCTGGGTATGCCTCATGCTTGGGGTCCTCCCCCTGTCCCTCACAGCCACTCCCTGGGACCAGGCCTTGGTCAGGGGGCAGACAGACCTTTTGGGGACCCAGGGTCCACCTGGGGCTGGCTGCATGGCTGGGTCGAGATCCCCCAGGACTGGTGTCCACCTCTGAGAGACACTCTTGGCTATCTCCCTTTCTGAACATCCACATGGGTCTTCTCTCTTTCTCTTTTCAGAATACAAGGTAAGGGGCCGCAGCACCCACCTGCCCGCCTGCCTTGCCCGCCTCCACACAGCGCGCCCGCTCACCTGCCCAGGTCACAGGTTCCTTTTTGTTGTGCCTCCCCTGCCTTGTGTGTGCCCTGTGCAGCCGCACGTATGAGCTTTCATGAGCCGTGTCTCACCGTGGGGTCCAGCGTGTGTATTTCTGGGACCGACACTGCTTTCTCCCTACAGATCTACCCTTACAACGCTCTCATTGTCACTAACCGAATTCGTGTGAAACTACCCAAAGATGTGGACCGGACTCGGCTGGAGGTAAGGGGCCAGAGGGAGACTTGAGGTGGGGGGGGGCAGGTGCTTCCTCCAGGGTCCATGGGGGAGATGAAACATGACTCCAGTTTCCATGTCAAATGGCCTCGTTCTGAAGGTGGAAGACCCTGGTCACATGCTGGAAAGATGGGTGTGCCAAGAGGAGATCAGGAAGCACGTGTGCGGGGGGGGGGGATGTCCCTGAGTCGTTCCCACAAGCGCTGCTGTTAGGAAAATCTTTCATGATGTGTACAGTGGTGAGGTCACCTCCTCGGACCACTTCTACACTGATCTGAAATCATAAAATAGTGACAACATCGGAAACAAACCTGAGCAGAGAAGATTCTGCAGGTGTTGGCCCAGGGCAGGTCCTGGTGATACTTGGAGTGGAAGAGGCAGGCTGAATCCCTCCTCCAGTGTGCCCTCTGAGTGACCGCCTGCACTCGGCAGCAGCCAGCCCCCGACAGCCGTAAGCTCAGCAGTTTTCTCGCCCTTTAATGAGCATTTCCCCTGTGCGGGGCTGGAGGAAGCTCCTGAAAGGTAGGGAGATGCTGCTTGGTCTATGCTGGGGCTGAATGTATGGCCGCACTAGGGACATGTAAGCTTCAGTGTGGCTGGTCAGGTGCCCGTCCAGGCCACCCGGGCACAAGCAATGGAGAGGGCTCCAGTGGACACTGGGTGGCCCGCACAGAGTAGACATCAGGAAAGACAGAGAATATAACAAGGGACACAGGGCAGGGAGCATCTGGCTGTCAGAGAGCAGCCCCAGATGCATGCTGGGATTCTCAGCAGAGCAGGGGATGGGAACAGGTGGAAGGGCATTCCAGGCCAGGGGACACCAAGAGTCCAGGCTTAGAGGAATTCCTTCCAGACGTGTCCCTGGACTGGTCCCACTCATGTCCCCAAAGATAGGACAGGGGTCTCACTTAGTTCCAGGGTTACTGTAACAATAGACCACAGTTGGGTGGTTCGAAGCAGCAGAAATGCATTCTGTGCAGCTATGGAAGCCAGACACTCACATCCAGGAGTCGGCAGGGCCATGCTCTTACCAAAGGCTCTAGGGGAAGGTCCTCCCTGTCCCCCAGCTTAGGCGGCAATCCTCGGTGGTCCTTAGTCTGCGGGCACACCTCTCTGAGCATCTGTGCTCCCATCACCACGTGGCATTCTCCTGTGTGTCTGTGTGTCTCTTCCTGTAAAGACACTCATAGCTGTCAATTCTGACACACAGTGACCTTCAGGACAAAGGACAGCCGCCCCACAGCGTGTCTGACACTACACATCGTTAAAGAATTGCTCTCCTCATTCCTCCAGCAGAGTGGCTAGAGGGTTTGAACCTCTGACCACGTGCTCTGAAGCTCACCACCTGACACTGTCAGTGAGGGTCCTTTTAGAGGACATTGGTGGTGTTCAGTGCCATCAAGACAGTTCTGACTCGCAGTGACCCTGTATAGGGTTTCCAAGGAGTGGATGGTGAGTTTGAACCGCCGACCTTACAGTTCAAGCTGACCTTGAGGTCCAGTGCTTTAACCCACAGTGCCACACCAGGACTCCAAGGAGTACATAGTTGTTGTTAAGTACTGTGCAGTCGGTTCCAACTCATAGCGACCCTGCACAGGGTTTCCGAGGTTGTAAATCTTTAATGGAGCAGAAAGTCTCATCTTTCTCCTGTGGAACGGCTGGTAATTTTGAACTGCCGACCTTGAGGTTAGCAGCCCGATTCGTAACCACTACGCTACCAGAGCTCCTTAAGGAAGGAGTACATTAGGCCTTCCCTGTTCCCATCAACCTGAGGGAACTAAAGAAAAAAATCAAGCCTCAACTTGAAATACTGAAAATTCTTTGGGGGGAATATTGAATGATGCAGAAAGCATCAAAAGAAGATGGCAGGAATACACAGAGTCACTGTACCAAAAAGAAATGGTCGATGTTCAATCATTTCAAGAGGTAGCATATGATCAAGAGCCAATGATCATAAAGGAAGAAGTCCAAGGTACACTGAAGGCATTGGCAAAGAACAAGGCTCTAGGATTGGATGAAATACAAATTGAAATCTTTGAACAAAGTGATGTGGCACTGGAGGCACTCACTCATCTATGCCAAGAAATTTGGAAGACAGCTACCTGGCCAACTGACTGGAAGAGATCCATATTTATGTCCTTTCCAAAGAGGTGACATCTTTAGAATGCCACAAAAGTAAAATTTTGCTAAAGATAATTTTTAAGAGGCAGCAACAGTACATTCACAGGGAACTACCAGAGATTCAAGCTGGATTCAGAGGAGGATGTGGAATGAGGGATATCATTGCTAATGTCAGATGGAACTTGGCTAAAAGCAGAGAATACTAGAAAGATGTTTACCTGTG